AGGATTTTAAATCGGGTTTTTTAAGAATAATTTTAACTGCACAACTTTAAATATTGGTTTAATTTGGTTTTATCTGGTGGGGGTTGTAAATATGTCTATGTTTTTAAATATGTTGTGAGCCGCCCTGAGTCCCGTTGGGAGAAGGGCGGGATATAAATCAAAATAAATAAATAAATAAATAAATAAATAAATAAATAAAGCTTTAATCATTAGCTATTTCGATTTACTATTGTGATTGCTTGTTTTTTTGGTGCCTCTTGGTGGAGAATGACATGCACAAGGCCAGAATGGCTGGAAAATAATAAAACCGCACAGGCAGATTCTCAGCTGCCATTTTCCCAACTCCCCAGTCCTTCTAAAGAGTCTGTCCCAGCTTTACTATCCTCTATGAAAAAAAAATATACTTTAAAAATGCAACTCAGTTCTTAGCAGAATTTCCTAGGAGAGGGAGCAAAATAAACAGATGTCAAAATGAACAAAAGAATTACTGAAGTGGATTTTTTCCCCTGGCTTTGTTGCTGGGCGAATGGCTGCAGGCCACTTGTCACCTTGTTGACTAAACGGGAGTGCTTATTCGCGGTGTGGGTTTTAGGGAGAAGCAGAAAGGTTTTGGAGTGGAGTTCAGGGAAAGGAGGATCTCATGGAAAGGGTCTCCAGAGCCATAAAAAAATATTTTTCTCCCCTGCCTTTTATTAAGTACCGCAAACTGCTGAGGTGGGCTGGTGAATACAGCATGCGTTCATTATGTTGTGGGGAAAATAAGAGGAGGAAGGTGTTATGGTTCCGACAGATGAAACTCTTCAAAAGAACTTGGAGGCATTGTTTACCTTAAAGAATCTTTTATTCGAGTAGCATAATATCGGCACTGCATAATCGAAGCCAAAAACTGAATTCCCCTCCCCTGGGCACATAGTATCAAAGCACAATTCCCTCCTCCAATTAACCGTCATAAATCACATTCCCCAATTAGTTTGAAGCCCAGGCTTCCTCTTCAGTTCTCCAGCCCGCCAATTCTTTATCAGCTCTGGGCTCAATAACCTTGATTCTCACGCTAATTTTAGTGTTGTTATGTCTAGCTAGACTCTCATTCACATCCCCCCTCCTCCCAGCATCATCTAACTCTAAAAGCGAAAGGGAAAAAGATGGCTACATTTCCATCTGTTGTCAATGCAAAACATCCCATGTTAGCAGCGTTGACAGAAGGTGTGTTGCTGCCTTATTTGAAAAAATAATAAAGGTGGGATACAAATAAATAACAAAGTCTGGCCATAATCTGGCTGACTACAGGTAGTCCTCGACTTACAACAGTTCGCCTAGTGACCATTTGAAGTTACAACAGCACTGAAAAAAAGTGACTTATGATCATTTTTCACACGTATGACCATTGTAGCATGGTCACATGATTTACATTCAGATGCTTGGCAATTGACTCATATTTATGACAGTATCCCGGGATTATGCGATCACATTTTGCGACTTTCTGACAAGCAAAGTCAATGTGGAAGCCCGATTCGCTTAACAGCTGTGTTATTAATTTAACAACTGCAGTGATTCACTTAACAACTGTGGCGAGAAAAGTCATAAAACGGGGCAAAACTCACTTAACAACTGTCTCACTTAGCAACATAAATTTTGGGCGTTAATTGTGGTTGAAAGTGGAGGACTACCTATATTTGTTTAGTGTCTGCTTGCAGTTACGATGGGGCTGAAACAAGTGAGTTATGGTCGGTCCTCAGTCTTACAATCACTGCAACATACCCACAGTTATATATATAATCGCAATTTGGGCACTTTGATAACCGGCCATGCATTTACAATAGTTGCAGCATCCCAGAATCACGTGATCACTGCTGGTGACCTTCCCAGCCAGCTTCCCATAAGGAAACTCAATGGGGGACTTGAGCAGGTTTTGCTTAACAATCACACACTTCATTTGACTATGCGATTGGCATAATGACTGTGGG